TTTGACAAGAAGGTTTGTATTGGGTTATTTTAGTTTTTAGTCTAATAAGATAAGATATTATATTTAAATTATAATTATTTTATTTTTTTTCTCATAAAAATTAAAAAGTTCATCCCAAACGAGACTTTTTAGTTTTAAATTAAAATAGTTAAAAGTTAAAAAACCAAAAAACTACTTACATCCCAAACGAAAGTTAAAGTAAAACTAAAAACAAAATAAAAGATTTATTATCCTTTCTATTATTAAATTATTTATTTAATTCTTAAATTATCGATTGAGTTTATTAAAATTTTAAAATATATTTAATTTTTAAACTGTTGATTGAATCTATTTAATTTCTAACATATTTAATTCAAATATATTTAATCTTTAAAAAGATTATAAAAATCAAATATAAACTCATAACTATTATAAATTAATAAAAAAAATCCTAATTAATTAAGATTTCATTTTCAAAAAAATCTTAATTTTTTGTTGTTTTTAAAAGGTATTTTATTTCGCTGTGTGTTTAGATTAGTATCAAAGACTGGTTTCTTAGTGTGAAATTTTATTTTTTTAAGGTATTAATATTTTAGAGAGAGGTATTGATAATTTATTATACTAGTTTAGTGATAAGATTTTTAGATGATAATTTAATTTTTTTTTCTTTATATGTATTTTATCTCTTTAATATCTATCTCATTGTTATGAATAATATTAGAGATACTAAATTTTCTATTAAATAAATAATGTAAGACCCACAATTTTATGAATCTTATACTCATATGAAACATTTAATCATTTATTAAAAAATTTAGAACCGATACCATTTTTCCAATGTTATTCATCTCTTTCTGGAAATAAATTTGATCATATTTCCTATCATTCTCCATCATTCTTTCGGTGGATAAAAAAAATAGATGTATATATATATTAAATTAAAACATGGCCGACAACTGCCAGGTCAGATATGACGGTTTTTTTTATTTAATATTTTAAAAAATAAATAATTTAGAAAATTGATTCACTTTTTAAATTATTTGAAAAATTAATTCATTTTTTGAAAATATAATTTTAAATTGAAATCACATTTTCAATATGTAATTTTAACATAAAATTACATGTTCAAAATGTAATTTTATAGTGACATGGACTGCTATAGTGACAAATTAAAATTATGTATTGTAAATGTGACACTTAAAGTCGTATATTCAAAATGTAATTTCATTTGAGATTCAACATGAGATTCAAATGAAATTACATTTTCAATATGCGATTTCATGACATCTCTCTAACTTACTCCAACAACTTTAAAGTACACTGTTTGAAAAGCTAACTTGTTGTTTTTCAATTGTTACCTATAACTTGTTTTATTGATTACAAAATACACTGTTTGCAATAGTTTTATGTGAAATTGAATCTTCATGCATGATAGTGATTTAACCTAATTCTACCTCAAACTCTGCAATCACATTCTTAACACATGATTTCATTGATAACATTGAATTCTTATCGATGTCAAATTGTGAGGGTTTTTATTTTTTTATTTAATTTCCTTGTAAAATAAATATAAAAATCTAAAAAAAAAAATATGTATGTGTAATTTTTATTTATATGATTTTTTTTTTATGTTAGTTTAAATCTCATTTTGAACATGCAAAATCATTGTTAAATTGGATTTTAAACTTGCAATTTCAATTCTCACCTGTGACTTACTACAACAATTTCAAATTACAGTATTTATCAATAGTTTTGCGTGAAACTAAATCTTTATAATACTCACCCTGACCTATTTTTTACTCAAATCTTCAAATTAGATTCTCAACATGTGAACAAATAGTACACACTATTTGTATTACGTGAAATGAAATTTTCGTGATAGCCATTTTACCTTAGTTCTAACTTAAATATTGAAATCAGATTCTTAACATGTGACTTCATTAGTAACATGCAATATTCTTGTCAATGTTAAATCACGAGGGTTTTTATTTTATTATTTAATTTCTCTGTAAAAGAAATATAAAAATGTAAAAAAAATTATATGTATATATATATGTGCAATTTTTATTTATATGAAATTTTTTATGTTAATTTAAATCTCATTTTGAACATGCAAGATCATTGTGAAATTAGATTTTGAACATGCAATTCAATTCTCACCCATGACTTACTACAACATTTTCAAATTACACTATTTATCAATAGTTTTACGTGAAATTGAATCATTATGGTTCTCACTTTGACCTATTTCTGACTCAAACCTTCAAATTAGATTCTCAGTATGTGAACAAATAGTACACACTATTTGTATTACGTAAAATTAAATTTTCGTGATAGCTATTCTATCCTAGTTTTGACTTAAATAATGAAATCAGATCTTCAAGATGTGACTTTGTCACGACCCGCTCCTCGTACTCAAGGGTTAAGTATCGTAATAGCCAGTAATTGAAGTTACCTCCGGCCAATTCTTAAACAAATTACCAAACACGAGTGGAAAAATATTTAACTGAGGGTACCAAAATAATCATTGGAGCTTCTATTTTTATAACAAAATTTATTGACCAAAAAGACTGATATTTATATATGAATAATAGAATTATAAATACTATAAAAGTGCTATGTGTGTCTATTTCGCAGCTCCGCATCTAAGATTCTCCGAAAGCTATTTCTGAATTACATTGTTTCTTGAAAAATGGTAAACAGCTATAAGCACATGCCAGAGTGAGAAACATTATACTAAAAGAATATAAGGGCATAAAATTCACCATGGATAATTATTGGCTAAACAAAGCTTGATATTAAAATACAGAGTATATAATACAGAGATCATTTGACATATAATACAGAAATCATATAAACAAAATGATCAAAACCATGGTACAAAATGGAACATAATAGATGTATAGACTCAAGAGGTGCCTCGTACGAACTCTAGAGGTGGCTCCCACCATAGTATAGTACTTAGCTCCGTACAACACTTTACTCCACACTAGAAATCATAACCATGGTACAGAACAAAACAAATGTATGGACTCAAGAGGTGGCTCGTACGAATAAAAGTGGCTCCCACAATGGTATGGCACTTAGCTCCGTACAACATTTTGCTCTATACCAGAAATCAGAGTGTCAGTAGATCCATGACAGACAGAGAGTCACAAAGTGACTAATCAGAGGGCCAATGGTTATTTAAGTCCCTCAAGGCATAGAACCTTCGTGGTGGTACTTATAAAATAATTACTCAAAACACTTTTTAATAAACAATTATATTCATAGGTTTTCCTTATTATATAAAATAAAGTTCACAAATTAAAAATACAAATATAATTTATAAAACACAAATTACGTAAAATAAATTATGATAACTCAAAATATATGCAAAATATATCATGATAATTCAAGATATAATATAACTCACATTTACGTTGATCTTTACTATTTTCTTCTTCAGCTGCCCGAGACGGTTCTCTTGCTCCTCTTTTTTTTTTTTTTCTTCTTCTTCCTTACTTACATCACACAGCCCCCCTATATATATATATATATATATATTTTCCTTCCAATTGATGACTCACCTCTCCCAGTGTTAGGCAGCACAGCTGGCTCGACTTTCCTTTCGCCAACAATTCGCACAATTAATTGTTGTGCTAACTTGGCCTTTTAAGTAAAATATACTCATCTTATTTTAATAAATCAAGGTCAAATTAAATAATATCTTTAGCACATATAGTTATGTAATGAGATATATTATTTCATATGTTTATATTATTTTATTATTATTAAATAATATTAATATAAATTTTGGGGGACAACTTAAATTTTCAAATTGTTATAGACTTCATTAGTAACATGAAATATTCTTATCAATGTCAAATTGTGAATATTTTTCTTTTATTGCTTATATAACTCCCCAAAATAATGGTGAACCAAAAACATGCTAAACTCAAACTCTTCAACTATTCAATCTTCTAGAATGTCAACATTTTCCTTTTACCAACACTATATTTCAACATTTCAAGAGACAAAGCTTTCAAAAATCTTTTTCATGAACATTACATAGGTAAAATATTCATTTAACGCAAAATCATTTATTTTATTTTTTGTTTTTTTTTTTTATGTTAGTTAAGATTTATATTCTTCAATAACGTTTTGTATTTGATGATTTTTTCCCAATTTCAATGGTAGGAAAACGATACAATCTTGTATCATACTATAATGGTGGAATAATTAATGATGGGTGTGGAATTGCATATGAGGGTTTTGATCCAAAATGGAAACGAGTTAATCAAAATATTTTGTTTATTGATCTCCGCAGTCGATTAATCAATACTACAGGGATAGACCACAATTGTGGGAATGTCCTGATTACATACAGATTTTCATCTAGAAGTTACCCTTATGCTGTCTAACAAGGCCAATGTTGAAATGCACGCCAGTGAAATTCACAGTGCTTATGCAAAACAGATACCCACCAAATGGGAGAAAAAGTCCAAGGGTCATTCGGTGCGGAGTTTCAATATGAATTTGGGTATTTTTTGACGTTCAAACTGCTATGAACCCCTTATATTCGAATCGGGATTTGCATCTTTACATGATCAACTTGATGGAAATTACATGTGACTATTAAAAATGGCAATATTATAAAATTTCATGTTCTCATGTCGCTGCAATATGTAAATTTGTCAGCATTGACAACCTGCAATATATTGATGAATATTACACACTGAAAGCACAAATGGCATGTTATCAACACTGATTCAACCCTGTAGTTGATGCTGTTTATTGGCGAGAGTCTAACTTTCCAAAACTCCATCCTAATCTGAACTTTGCTAGGACTCGTGGTTGTCACGACCCAAACCCACCCCTATAGGTTTAGCATCGTAACCGGCCAGTAATCCTTGGATTACCAAAGGCCTCTGATCTGAATATCATAAAATATAAGGGGCTGTGGAAGCAAATATATAAAATACATTGTCCATAAAGCTGTGCTGACGTACATGGGACATAAATTTAAAACTTGAATATATATATATGACGTCAAGGTTTCATAAGTCAAGTATTATCACACAGATATTAACAAAATGGGCTTAGCCCTGTGTACATATATCCAAAAATAAATAAAAACCAAAACATCTTTAACATAAGCCACAAAACTTGACTTCTTCCAACGAGAACCTCCTCGGGAGGCACAAAGGCTGGCTCACAAAACTCAACTCTAGGCCTTCAACTCAGGGCCTGGTCACATGCCTGATCACCAACATACATAATATAAATAGTGAGCGGAGACCTAGTGAATAATAACAGAGTAAAGGGTTAAATAAATGATGTCCCATATCAGATTCAGAAAACAAACTTCATATTAGAAATAGATTCGTAATCATATTCTTATTCAAATCTTATACAGAAATCACAGTTCATGCTTAATCATACATGGTACATCCATTATCGCTGACAGATCAAATACAGAGCATAAAGGGTCATGCTTGCCAGTTCCAATAAGGAACCCCCGATACTGGGAACAGATAACATACTTAAGCCATGGTATTGTTACCCCCAGGCGAGAGCCATGAGACCACGGTATTCTTACCCCCAGGCAAAGGATGCCATGAATACTTTTCAATATATGAATAATCATTCATTGGTTCAGAATTTAACATGTCAGAAAACAGAGCATTTCTTGTCATATCATATCATATAAGAAATTACTTAAACATAAACATAGCTTTACAAAGTTATTACTCACAGATAGCTCCAAAGCAAACAGGCAGAGCAGACAAATCAAATAACTTGCGGCACGTAACCTACACAGATACAAAATGAATACGTACTAAATTACACTCCCGGAATCATTAACTTAGTTCTTTCTTATCTTGGTGTGTTTCTACTTCTTAACCTCATTATTATGTCTTAACCATGGCCTAGGAATGCGTAGGATGCAATGTGGATGCCAAAATACACTTCGAAACAGTTAACAAAATTTGCTGAAAATAGGGCCTTCATTCGAGCGCAACTTGCTTCGCTCGAGCAGAGGCTCAAAAATGTGAGTGGTCGCTGGAGTACAACTTCGGTCGCTCTAGTGGTCTATAAACTCTATAAAAGTACTGGTTGCTTGATTTTTTCACTCGACGGTCGCTCGAGCGTAAGACTGAGGTTTTCACTCGAGCGTAACTCTTGTCGCTTAAGCGATTTGCAAAAATTGTAAACTTCTGGGAGCATGCATTTTACGCTCGAGCCAACTATTTGTCGCTCAAGCGGTAGTGTTAAAGAAAGAGTGGTTTCTTGAGCGTAGGTTATGTTGCTCAAGTAGAGAGCAGAATTCTAGAATTTTCAGATTGCACTCCCAAAATCAAAACTCGAATTCAAAGCTTTAAAATGCAACCCTTAGGCCCTAAAACTTAAGCAAACATGTCCAAACTTGTAAAACATAGAGAATTAAAGATCATTTCATGAAATCAAGGCCCCAAAGCATGTCATTTGCTCAAAATCAAACTTGAATTGTATGTTTGTAGAACATGCATGAGTTTTTATGAATTTGACCTTCCAAAACATGATCGAGTAAGATAAATTGGCATGAAACTTGATGAATTCTCAAAACAAAGGTAAGATGGACACATGTATGAGAGACTTCTTGAAATTAAACTCAAATTGTGATGAAATTGGACATATATGCATGGGATGCTCTTCTTTTCCACTTCCTTAGCTCAATTCTTGCTTAACTTAGCTTACTTCTCCAGAATTCATGTATTGAATAACTTAAACTCAAGCCTAAGGATTGAATGCTTACCTTAGATGTTCAATTATGCTCTAGAATGCTAATTCTTTGAGCTTGGAGGCCAAATATCCAAGGTTCCTTCCCAAATGTTAGTAATTCCCTTGCTTGATCTCAACTTTCTCTCATTTTCTTTCTTTCTCTCTCTCTCTCTCTCTCTCTCTCTCTCTCGTTTGTTTGTGTAGGTTCAAAGATGTGATGAAGAAAAATGGGATGAGTGATGACACATAAAGGAGCCTTATATAGGTTTGATTAGTGGTGATTAGTTAAGGCTAATTAAATGAACATTAATAATCCTAATTTAATCGTTCCAAATCGAATTTTAATTAAACTTACCATAAAATTCTAAAAATTTCAAATATCACATATACCAAGTCAATTTCATGATCAAATATCGATAAGGCCTTCAATTCACAGAACAAAGCAAAAACACAAACAGATAGCTCTGCGATGGATAGATAGAAACACAAATAATGCAACACAATGCAATTAATTCAGAATTTCATCTTAATTACTTGTTAGGCATAGTTAATCATGATTTATCGGCTAATCATAGGTCGGGGTTGTTCCAGTGGTCGTTCAAGGACAACACGACTTCAAAAAATATGGATTGGCGCGAATCTCAAACCAAACCAAACTAAACTGTGGATTCTGTGGGCAACAAGATCATAATCAAAGGAGATGTTCAAATAACAATGTAGCAGTCTCAAGTAGTGGGTCATATAACTAATGATTATCCAAATCGATTGTTCTATGTGTTGTATTTTAATATTGAATGTAATGTTATCAATCTTAAGTTATGTTGTATGTCGTATCATATTTCTTAATATAAAAATGTGTTATAACCTTTATATTTTTATGAGTAAAATGAAGTAAATGATAAATATTACAATTGACATAGTTGTAGTTTTATGTAGATAGTTGATTCAGAGAATTGTCAATTGACATAGTTTCCAACAACGATGTGAAATTTAAAAACAAATACATGAAATATTATATTTTTCTTATAATTACGCTAATTTTCCTTTTAGTAAAGTTAAATAGACCGAAACTAATGCATATATCATGTAAATACAAAATAAATAACGTAAAACATACAATTTTATTTAAAAAGGATGACAATATTATTTTTTCATCCATATAACTAAAAAAATTATTGATGAAAATTAAGTATTATATAAATTAAAATAAGGGAACTCAATGTAACTGTGTTAAAATTATAGCGTTTACTATATTACGTTAAGGGAGTCCTTATCTTTTCTCAAAATTCACTTTAATATATAGGAAGGGGGGGAAAAAAAAAAGACAAACAAGGAGTGATGATTTGACATGAATAAAAATTTATATGTTCTAAAATAATATAAATAGTTTGGCTATGTATGTTAAAAATTGTTGAAATGAAAGGACTTTCAATCTGCCAAGTAATTGCTGAATTTCAATTTCAAATGTCATTTTCAGAATGGATTATGTAATTGTGCAACTTAAAATCATATTTTCAAAATGCGAGTTTATGATGAAATTGCATGTTGAAAATGCAATTTCAACTTGCCATGTCAATACAACAGAAGTTATATCAACTTGAAATCGCATTTTTAACATGTGATTTCAACTTGCCACATCAGCACGTCGTAATCCATGTTGACCTTTCAAGTTGAAATTGCATTTTCAAAATGCGATTTTAAAAGTGAGTTAGTTTCCCAAATAATTTAAAAAGTAAATCAACTCTCTAAATTATTATTTTTAGAATATTCACCCCTCCCAAAAAAAAAAACTCCAAATACCACTCATGTGCTCCATTCTTTCTTTTTTTTCCTTTCTTTTCCTTTTTACCATTTTTTTCTTTTCTTTGCTTTTTCTTTCCCTTTCAATTATTCTAATTATTTATTTATTTTACTTCCTTTTGCAGACACACCAATGTGCCATTTATTTTTTTCTTTTCTTTTTCTATTCTTTTCAAACCAAACCGAACTCATACACATGGGTAATACTAGAAATATCAAATTTTCTATCAAATAAATGACCAAATGTCTCACATGGGTGTGGGGTCCGCAATTTTGTGAACCCCACACCCATGTGAGACATTTGGTTATTTATTTGGTAAAAAATTTGGGACCTATAGCATTTTTTCATACACATACCACATACTTTTACCTACTCCATTTCTCTTCTTCCTTTTTCTTAGGGTAAATTACATTTACCTTCCCTGAGATTTTTAATAAATACAAGGACATCTCTTGTGATTTCAATATTTAGAAAAACCTTCCCTACTTTAACTCACAATATTAAATTTTCTCAATCCGTTAATTTTGCACAAACGATGTTACTTTTCTATACAAAATGACCATATTACCCTTTTATTTAAGCACGAAAAGACGAAAATATCCCTTGATTCCTCTTTTTACATTATTCAACTTTTGTTTTTGTTTTTGTTTTTATTTTTGTGCTCTCTCATCTCATCGGATCAAAACGTCAGAGAGAGAGAAAGAGAGAGAGAGCGAGAGAAAACCCATCAATGGGCGATGGAGGTAGCAGAAGAGTCTGAGCTGCAGCGCTGGTGTGATGGAGGTAGATTGGGTGCTAAGGTGGGGTGATGGAGGGAATGATGGGCTGTTACGACACAATGGATGCAGAGAGGTGGTGCGACGACGATAAAGGTAGAAGAAGGCTGGACAACAACAATGGAACTGAAAGAGTTGGGTTTCTTAATTGCAAGTATTTCCAAACACCACTGGGTTCAAAATCTAAAGGCACCAACCCTCTCTCTCTATATATGTATATATTTGTATATTTGTGTTTTTTTTTTTTGCTAATTTAGTGTAAGAAAGTTGAAAATCTTGCTTTAGATCATTTGGGTTTAGATTCCAAACACTACTGGGTTCAAAATCCAAAGGCACCAATCCTCTCTCTCTATATGTATATTTTTGTGTATTTGTGTCTTTTTTTGCTAATTTAGTGTACGAAAGTTGAAAATTTTGCTTTAGATCATTTAGGTGTAGATTCCAAACACCACTGGGTTCAAAATCTAAAGGCACCAATCCTCTCTTTCTCTATATATATGTATATTTGTGTCTTTTTGCTAAATTAGTGTAAGAAAATTGAAAGTTTTGCTTTAGATTAGTTAGTGTAGGTCTAGAATGTGCTTTGTAATGTTTAATTTTTGATTTGTGTATATATGTTAATATATATTTGTGTATATGGGTTGTTGGAAAAATGTTTAAAGAGAAAATAATGAGTTATCAGGTTTGGAAATCTAAACAAGTTCTTATTCTTTGCTGGAAATCCAAACAATGAGTTATCACGTTGAAAATCCAAACAAGTTCCTATTCTTTGTTGGGTTTCTGTGGGTGCTATTTTCTTACCACACTGCCAAACAGGTACTCAGCTGGAGAACACCGGCAGAATAGATTGCGCCTGAACGACCTGCCACAGAAAGATAAGACTCCCGCGGTGGTTCTTCCACCCGGGGGCACTCCGACAA